GAGAACTGATGACATCAAGATGGTCACTGATGTTGTCCTACAGAGGGATACTGTGAATGCCGTGGACATAGCAAATAAACTACGAGGAAGTTTTACGGAAAATGGATCCTGTCGAGAAAAAATATCTAGCCCTACACAGTGAACCAAATTTCCTAGCGGAAGACCGAGCAATTGATTCAATATAAACGTTCCACTTCATGTCAGCGAAAAAACGTTAGCAGCGATGTTTATGGAAGTCAAAAGGTTTTTAAAAAATACTTATTTTATTCTGAATTAAAAAAAAAAATATATATTCATTTATTTATTTATTTTTTAACCTAGAGTGCAGGGTACCCGAGTAGTCAGTACATAACAATAAAATCTACACAGTCACCTCGGGCGATAACATCTGGACAGTGTCTCAAAACTGAAGGAGCGTATTAAATGTAAACGCTCGCTTTCGACGCTTACTGTTCATATGTTAGTCTTAAATACATTGTTTTTATCTTACAAGTACTTTCTTTCTAGTCGTCAAATGTTACAGATAGGTAATACTTATTAAATGAATTTCTTTTTAGTTATATACAATGGTTGCCAGACTTTCCTTACCATGCTTCTTTAACAATATTTTAGGTAACCAATACCTTCCCACAGGGAATGACTAGAGATGATTGATAGAAAAAAATAAGAAAAACGATATTTTATTATTATTATTATTATTATTACGCATGTAATTATCCAATCTTTCAGTAACAATTGCTTTAATTCTTGACAATATATTTCTTTCTGATTTAAACTGCATTTCTTATTTCTAATGATTTCCATCAGCAATGCATTTACATTTTGCTTCTATAATGTCAACAATGCTTGCATTAATTCCTGACCACTGAAAATCGCTTTTCTCCATATTTCTATTGTTTCTATAATAAAATAATTATTAAAGAATTTACATTATGTATATGTAATAATGCATTGTCTTTATAATCCGTCAGTTTTGTGGCATGCTTAGGCGATCATGTATCTTTCGATACATGACTGATGAGGCAGACTTTTTTCCCGTAGTAGGTTGTCATTTCTTCCTGCGATAGACAGGTTGCCATCAAAGGCTATGGAACCCGTTTTATTCTGCTATTTACCCATAGCTGGAGGCAGAAGAATAGGATTCATTCCTTTCTCAAGGGTATTAGCACGTAAGTGAATGTAATGGATTCAACTGGAATTCGAACTCGGCTCTCCGATTCCTCAATCTGAATCGCTATCCATGTCTCCTCTCTTCGTAATACTTCCATTAATTACTGACCACTGACAATCCCTTTCTTCCCGAATTCAATTTCAAGACATTCTGAGTATAAGTGCCCCTTGCGTTTTTGTTTTCCTTAAAATATTCCGTCCATGTTATTCTCAGTATCCTTCTGTAGAACTATATTTCTGTTGACACAAGTATCTTTGTTTCTAACGAAAATTTCCTGTTCTTTCTCTTAGTTTTTAGAAGGCATCTTTCGCTAGCGTTACGCGCTTTCGGGTTCCGATGCCACACTTACTGCCCTCTGTTAAAATGATTTTTAATCATTTTAACATCTATTTACTTCAATGATTTTGCGTAATTCACAACTTTTATTTTTTCTCAACCGGAAAACCATAAATTCTGTCTTCTTACAATTGATGGTTATTCTTTTTTTCAACTCTACACCAAATCCATATTATATCTGTCTATATTTCCGTGATGAGGTCTTGTAACTATTTACATTAAGACATTTTTATGTTTATACATTCTTTTTATAGATACAAATATTTAAGTAAATGCTCTGTTTATAATAAACAGTATTAAACAATATTTACCGGCCTGAATATCCGAGAAATTTTCACAGAAAATAGTCGCCCTCCGACAGGATTAGAACCTGTATCCTATTGGGAACCGTCATTTAGTCTGACGTGCCTTTACCGATTTGGCCACGAAGGAGCGTTCGGTTAGCAAGGTCGAATTTACTGTATTTAAACTTCAATCTTCTATGAATCTCTCACGTACATTCATATGTGCTCAAAGCGTATCCAAATGTAAACAAATGACGTCACACATTATGAAATGGACAAAGTCCGACAATTATTTTAAGACATTTTTATGTTTATACATTATAGATACAAATATTTAAGTAAATGCTCTGTTTATAATAAACAGTATTAAACAACATTACGGCCGGTAAATGTTCTTTAATACTGTTTATTATAAACAGAGCATTTACTTAAATATTTGTATCTATAAAAAGAATATATAAACATAAAAATGTCTTAAAATAATTGTCGGACTTTGTCCATTTCACTATTTACATTGTTCGGACTGTTGTCCTCATCTTTATTGCCATATTCACAGTCTATATTTCTGAGATGAGGTCTTGTAACTATTTGGACTATTGTCCTCATCTTTATTGTCATATTCACAGTCTATATTTCTGAGATGAGGTCTTGTAACTATTTACATTATTTATATTATTTAAACTGTTGTCCTCATTTTATTGCCATATTCACAGTCTATATTTCCGAGATGAGGTATTTTACACTAATTACATTCTTCGAACTGCTGCCCTCATCTTTATTGTGATAATAACGACGTTTCGGCCGTTGTACGCTACCGACTTCTTCAGATGATAAACTTTGTATTATCCTACAGAACTCTTTACTTAATATGCGTTCGTAGATTGTTCTGGTTCCACGTGCCGTGCATGTTATTTCCCTGTAGTTACTCAACTCTCCAACTTTCTGTTCACCTCTGCTGTGGCGATGTATTGAACTCACAACTCTTTGGGTCAAGTCTCTTTTGGATGACTTCAACCAATGAACTAGGCCATGTGCCTTGTGGATCTTCCAACGTATATCACTTGAAGAAGGCCCGAACGTACAACGGCCGAAACGTCGTCAATAACACAATAAAGTTGAATACAAAATTCCGAATAATGTAAATATTGTAAGTATTCCATAGTATATCCAAGCCATTGAGAATTTATAGTTGAAAATAAAGCCGATCCTTTTATCGTTACTCTAATTAGGAACTTGAATTTCGTGATGAGGATTTAATATTGGTTCATATGTTATATTGTTTTGTTTTTAATGATATTAATTAAATCATTTTGTCTATCTCGATATTAAACAATTAAGGCTTAATTACATGACCAGTTACCGCTTCCAATGTAGCGGAAGTGGGACATTCGATTTCCTGTTTAAAACCACTGGTTTAAAACATAATGAATTTTTAGTTTCACGACAATAAATAGACTTTCGTCGGCTTCAAAACTAAAAGAATGATTTACCCACTGACCAAACTCTTGGAAAATAAACGGAATCTTATTCTGGACGCACGTATTCCAACGGGTAAAGCATGGGTTCGTTTTCTTACGTACAAGACAGGCTATGATAAGCGGATGCAATGACGCTTTTATTTACCAATATATAGACTTAAATTAAATATCTAGCCTTATATTCCCACACCCATGTCAATATACAGGTCCATATATGCACCGGAAGTTGCTTAGAAATGGAAGATCATTAGCATGTCAAAACCACATCCTGTGGTGGCGTGTAGAATAGATAGAAATTCCTTTGAAAAATTGTCTTTTGCAAAACGTTGTACAAAAAATAAAATAATCAACTGAATTTCTTTTGCTCATTTTTCCGTTTCCACTCCTGCCCGTCTTCTTAATTTTATTTATTCGTTCTTTCTTTTGTCTTTCTTTCTTTTATACCATTTATTTATTCGTCGTTTTTCTTAGTTTTTTCTTCGCTATGTTCTGCATATTTTTTTTTTAAATTTCCTTTATTTCCAAATTCTATGTTCTTTCTTCTTCTTTGTTATTCCTATTTTTTCTTTTATCGTCGTTGTTTAATTATTTGTTATCTGCTCTTTCTTCTTCTTCTTCTTCTTCTTCTTCTTCTTCTTCTTCTTCTTCTTCTTCTTCTTCGTCTACTTTTTCTTCTTCTTCCACTCCACTATTTTCTTCTTCCACTCCACCATTTTCTTCTTCTTCTTCTTCTTCTTCTTCTTCTTCTTTTACTTCCTCCTCTTCTTCTTTTTTATTCTTCTTCGATTCTTCTTCTTCTACGTTTTTCCTTCTTCCTCATTTCTTCATCTTCTTCGTTTTTATTTTATGTTTTAATTTTTTATTCTTCGTCTTCGTTTTTCTTCTTCTTTGTTTTTTTTCTCCTTCGTTTCTTCTTCTTCTTCTACTTTTTTTCTTCTTCTTCTTCTTCTTCCACCTTTCCCCTCTCTTTGTATATCTTCTATTTCTTCTTTTCTTCTCTATTTCATTTATTTATGTATAGTTAAGCCCCGTGCGTCTTTTCCACCCACACACATTTACCATCGTTCAGAACGAAGAAGACATTTCGTACTTGCAACAATGATATCCTTCTAACAACAGTCAATAGGACTGCTCTAGTCCTACGCCAATGAACAGCTTGCTTTTACGATTCAACTCTAAAATGCTATCGTAACAGAAATGTTTTGCTCTCAACTGAGAAGCAAACATACATGAATCCTACTACTGCACCTAATAACACACACTTCTGAAAAAAAAAATAGTTCAAAGTTGTCTCCCTTGATTTTTTTTCCAAGTAGAAAAATATTCAATTAAGACGAGACACTTAGAAGTTGTTTTGTCTACGAAATGGAAAGAAACCTTATATTCATCTTTGATATTCTTCTTCTTCTATATACCGTATCTCTTCTGGACGTGGGCAAACATAGCTCTCCACAACCTCCTGTCTTTTGTAGCTCTTATCAATATCTATCTCCTTAGCAGTCCGTATTCTGCCATCCATTTAAACAGTTCGTTAATGTTTTCCTCTGACCCTCTTGCCTTGAAAATGTTCCGTAAGCATCAAATTCTCCAATTCGTTATGTGTCCCAGAAATACCAACTGTTGCTTTCTCATCTTCAGTACAATCGTCTGTTTTCCTTTCATTTTCCCTAAAACGTCCTTGTTGCCGCCATGTTCCGTTCATAGTTTCCTCAGTATCTGTCTGTTAGAGGCTTACGGCCATGTCTGCATGAAACGCCGGTCCTCGTACGATCTCTAAAGTTAAGGAACGTCGAGCTTGGTCAGTATCTAGATGGGTGACCGTTTAGGAATATCAAGTGCTGTAAACTTGTATGTGAGGGTGGTGTAATGGTTAATGGCCCGGAATTATTAATTTGAGAGCCGAGTTCAAATTCCAGTTGTGTTCGTTTTATTCACTTACGCGCCAATATTCTGGAGAAAGGTAAGAATCCACCTCTTATTCTCCCACCTATGGATTAATTAGTAAGATTTTTATTACTATATCATTATTATCCGAAAAAATATTCTTAGAATCTAAAAAATATTCCTTGGATTTAAATAACCTGCAATGGGTTGATAAACCGTAAAGATCGAATAAATCAATCAATAAAATATCGATTAGCCACACGGGCATGTCTTTAAGATTTATTTACATTCTCTAGAGTATAAATGTATAGAAACTACCGTGACCACAAAGTGAGGGATCAGTTTATATATTAATGTTAATATAGAATTGATACCCCATTTTATATTTAGATTATAATTTCTTGTTTCTTTATCAAATTCTGATTAGATATGAGTCCACCACTTCTCTCCCCAGCTACGGGTTAATTAGTAAGACTTGTATCACTAAATCATTATTATCTAAAAAAACAAAAACTCTTACAATCTAAAAATATTTTCTCTCTTTAAATGACGTGCAATAAACCGTAAAAAAACGAATCACTCAATCAGTCGTACTGTTATGAAACTATCCTGCATTCACTGCCAGATATATATATATATATATATATATATATATATATATATATATATATATATATATATTGTGTGTGAGTGTATTTATATTGGACACACCACAAACTCGCTTTCACGACGTTTGACTCTACATTTGAATGATAACTCTAACATTTTTAGGCATTTAAAACAACATGCCTGCCCGCGTACATGCCTTCCCGCGTACTCAATACCATAAAATCCTTGTTGACAACACAACTATACTTAAACATGAGAACAATGAACAAAAACTAAAAATTCTTGAAGCTATATACATAAAACAGTTGAAACCTAACCTGAACAAAATAAACTATGAAATCTCCATAAATATTCTTAAATGTCTATAATTGATAACAGAAGCCATTGGTTTATACCATACTTAATACTTCTCGTTTTCACTCTCGCGTGGTTATGTGTGACGTTACGAGCTGCGACGCGATTTTCGCTTCCAGCGTCTCGTATGCTTGGAGTTTCATTTTCTTTTGTCCGTGTATTGTTTAATATATTGTAATGTAATTGTCATCTTTCATAATGACTTATGTAAGCCGAAAGCTTAGTTATGATTAAAAAATATATATCAATATGGTGATTTTCTTTCGTCTTTTAATGATAATGTTATTAAGCTTATCAGACGATATGAAAAGAATTTACATAAAATAAATAGACAAAACTTGTCTATATTATTTAATGAAACATGCATCAATATATATATATATATATATATATATATATATATATATATATATATATATATCACAGCCGTTGATAGTTCTCAACAGATGAGATAACATTGCATTCTTTTTCAAAGATTTGAAGAATCATTTTTGAGACATTTCAGGTTTTATCGAATCTACCTCTTCTTCAAGGAAAGTCTTTAAGTCCCGGTGTATTTTGGATTTTCTCTTGTAAACCGCATTCTTAATATTGTCCCAAATAAAAAGAAAGTCTTGATATATGATATTGGGAGATTATACTGTTCAAAAGAGTGGTACCACATTCTCCCAAGCTATGGATTTCAAGATTTACAATCCAAGATCTTTCTGATGACACGTGAGTAAGGTGCAGGTGTAGCTTCCTGCGCAAAGTTAGAAAGATAGAGGCTTCTTTCTTTACAAAGCAGTGGACAGAGCAAAACGAAAAGACCTCACAATCCTTCCTGGGAAGTATCGTGAGAATTTTGCGGTTATTATAGAAATCTGTGTATATATATATATATATATATATATATATATATATATATATATATATATATATATATATATATAATATATATATGGATATAGATCCGACAGTATGAAGAAAATATACGGAAAAAACAAACAAAAATCCTAATATCCAATTATGCTGTTTTAATGTTAATATAATGTCAACGTTGGATGTTTCGGTCTAGTAGACCATCTTCAGGACATAATTATAAAACATAATTAACATTAGACTATATTTAATTCAACATGAAAAGACGATGGACATAAGAGTAAGACTAATCAAAACAGACAACTGAAATTTTTCAAGATTCTGTGAAGATTTTAAAATATATTCATAATAAAAATCTTAGGCGGATTTATGAGGCAGGCATAATATCTGTCTCACGCACGGTGAATACTAGACCTGGCTTCTTTAATATTTCCTCTTTTCTAGCAAGATTAATGCTTGATAAACGTACATATAAGTTTTAGATTAAAATAAAATTCTTTTCATTTTTCATTCAAAATACTATATTTCAGGAATACG